GTGGACAGGTTGGGTTTAGGTTCCCTCTCCGGAAATCTAAATGTGCCAAGCCTCTGGTAGAAGTGACATGATGGGACTTCTAAGGCTGGGCCATAAAAGGCAGTACAGCTTCTGCCTGCTTCTCGTGAGCTATGTGCTTCTGGAATCCAGCCACGATGAGGTGAGAAATCCCCAAAAGCCTGCAGAGAGATTAACATGGAGGGGGACCCTGGTCTTTCGTCTACAGGTCAGCTGAGCTCCCAGCTGGCATCCACTATCAACATGGCAGCCAAATGAGCCAGCCACCTTGAAAGCAGAACCTCTAGCCCCAGTGAGGCCACCTCCACCGAAGTGACAAGGAGCTGTGAATGCCATGCACAGCCCACATTACAGATTTGGGAGCAAATAGGAGGATGGTGGTTGTTTTAAGCCACTAAGTTGTAGGGAGGTTTGCTATGTAACAATAGGTACCTGGCACATGATAGTTGATTCAACTTGCTTATGTTTTATTTAGGATTTTTTCCCACCCACTCTCAGAAGGAAGATTGGACTGTATTTTCTTTACTTCCTTCTCCCCATCTTGTTATCAGATTTTCCTATCAAAGTTATACAACCCTTTAAAAATGAGCTGGGATGTGTTCGTTTGTTTAGACAGTCTAATGCAAGAAGCTGTCAGAGATTGATGCCTTTCATTTCTTTAAAAGAGAATTTGCCCACTGACCAGTTTATTGAAAGGTTAGGGTCTATTCTGACTCCCTAGTATTTCTTAAGTTAATTTTTGGTAGTTTCCTAGAAACTTTTCCATATCTTCCAAACTTTCAAAATAACCTCAGGTAACTGTCAGGTCTCATTTTCCTGATTTCCTGACGTGAACAGAGGCTCAGGGACAAGGGAACTTGTTCAGGGCCAGTGGAAGTAGAGCGGGGTCTTGCGCCCCTCACCACTGACCCTTTGTGGCCCTTGCAGCACGCTGGGGAGTCCTGATGACTGATACCTGGTTGTCCGCTCACCGGTGTCGCTTAGGACTTCTGGGGCGGGGCCTAGATAAAGCCCGCCCCTCCCACCCCCAAGGCGCTCTAGGATCCAGATCCAGCCCCCTCCTCCCGCCCCAGAGGAAACGGAAGTGGCGGTGGGCTCGGGCGGAAGCAGGAAGCGGCGGAGCAGGACGACGCGAGTGGTGTTGCGGCGGACCGTGGGGCCATGGCGGAGAAGTTCGACCACCTGGAGGAGCATCTGGAGAAGTTCGTGGAGAACATCCGGCAGCTCGGCATCATCGTCAGCGACTTCCAGCCCAGCAGGCAGGCCGGGCTCAACCAGAAGCTGTAAGTGGCGGCCCGAGTCCGCCGGCGTTTCCCGGGGCCGGCCGGGCGGCGTCCGCTCGGGGAGCCGGAATGGGGGGTCGGGCATGGGGAACCGGGATCCGAGAGCCATCCGGGAGCGGGGGGCGGAGAGCCTCGTCCTCTCTCCCTGTTTCCGCTGGGCCTGGTCCCTCCCGGACTCCCCCCACTCCAGGCTGTGCGCTAGGGCGGGCCGCAGCTGCCGCCGGTTGCCCGCCCGCCTCCTCCCGGCTTGGCCTCTGGGACCTGGAGGGCCCATGCGGAGACGTTATCGTGCCGGACAATACAGTGTCTGTACTGGGGCCACATGCGAGGGAGTCACGCTTCTTTATCTCAGCCTCTCCCTGCGCACTTGTTGACTCCCAGGGTTTCCTCCTGGACTCTGGGGAATTCGGAGCCTGACTCTCTCCAGAGGGGAGGCGGGCTTCGCTGGGAGTGCTCTGACACCACCTGCTGCAGAGGCCTGCATGTGGAGGAATTGAAGTGGGGGTGGCCTGAGAAAGGCCGCAGACCGTTTATTAACGATTATTTTTTGGCAACAGCATTGTGCTGGCCATAGCGCTAGGCCCTAGGATGGATCGAGGCAAACACGCGAAGAGAAAGCTCTGGAGAAGAGCTCCCAGCATTATAGGGAGGATAGGCATACAGACATGATTGCAACACTGTGTTACATACCCAGTGCTGTGGGACTAGCGCCGTGACAGTGACGTAGGAGGGCTCCCCACCAGGGGAACTAAAATTCAACCAGGTAGTGATGGCATTCCTCCCCCCAGACCTGGAGGATGGGTTCTTAAGCTGGAGTCCACTACCCCCTGTGTCAGGGGTGGGCAAACTTTTTGACTCGAGGGCCACAATGGGTCCTTAAACTGGACCGGAGGGCCGGAACAAAAGCATGGATGGAGTGTTTGTGTGAACTAATATAAATTCAAAGTAAACATCATTATGTAAAAGGTTACGGTCTTTTTTTTTTTAGTTTTATTCATTTCAATCCCACGGGCCGTAGTTTGCCCATGGCTGCCTGTGTTCTCTGAAACCCACACACAAAATCGCATGCACATCACGGAAATTGTTTTTGAGAGAAGGTTCATGTTTTTCATTAGATTCTCTAGGGGATTGGTTCCTGCTCCCCAGTATTGGCAATTGCTAGTTTAGGAAGCAAATCAATAAAGATCTGAGGATAGTCTGTAATTCCAAGTCCTTCCTTGGAATTCTGTAGGTAACCAAAAAGTTATGAGCTGTGTGTAACCCCTGCATGTGGAAGGAGCACTTTTGTACTGGTCTGGCTCAGCGGATAGAGAGTCGGCCTGCGGACTGAGGGGTCCCGGGTTTGATTCCGGTCAAGGGTATGTACCTTGGTTGCGGGCACATCCCCAGTGGGGAGTGTGTAGGAGGCAGCTGATCGATGTTTCTCTCTCATTGATGTTTCTAACTCTCCATCCCTCTCCCTTCCTCTCTGTAAAAAATCAAAATATATTTTAAAAAAAATAAATAAAAATCTCAATTGTTGAAAAAGAGTTACTTGTGAATAGAGGCGTATGAAATAGGAAAAACGTCATAGACCCTCAAAGTGTTGCTTAGCTAGGACAGCTATATAACTTTCCTTTTTAACTTAAAAAAAAAAGAAAAAAAGGTAGAAAGTCTTAAGTGGGTTGTATTTTTAAAAAATTATAGCCAGAAACAACCTGAAAAGTAATCTGGTCTAGTATCTCTGATATTGCCCTGGGACTGCTACTTCTGGGAGGTGGATATATATATATACACACTCTGTTGAAAAAAAGTTTCTTAGGCCAAGTAAGTTTGGGAAGGCTGCTCACGGTTTTCTACAGGAGTTTATATGTGCCTACCACAGTCATGGCCCAGAGAATGCATCCAGGAAATAAACTTCTTACTTTTTTTAATCCAAGCTTTATCACACTGGTTTGGTTATCACACCCCTGATTTCACTGGTGAAGGAACTGATAAGTAACTACAGTGGGCTATTTACTAGTCAGTGTCAGAGTTAAGAGTAAAATCCTGGACTTGTCCTTCCTCAGCCAGTGCCGTTTTCCTGACAGCCTCTTCCTCCTGAAACTGGCTCTGATCTACAAAAGCATGCTAGCCCTTTTTGTGGTATAACTGCAAATGTAAACCACCAATTTCCTTGAACAATAAAGGAAGAGCTATTGCTATTTTACATCCCCAGAAGTTAGAGACTCAGCAGCTGTCCACAAAGATAGGACACCCAGGCTGCAGTTTTCACAGGCTTGGCTCCGTCCTTGCCTTTTGACCATGGTGTCATGTTTTCTCAGCCCCACTGAGTTCTCTGGCTTCAGGTGGGTGAAGGTCATGTACATGTGTTAAGCTCTGGACTCTTGGTGATGCTGCCGGCTTGTGAAGTGTGGGAAGGTGGAGGCTACTTTGCCTTCCTCATTAGTGCTCTTCTGGTCATGAATGTGCAGGATGTGTGTATTGACAGATGCCAGTAACTACTTGAGTCATTAAAGAGGGACAAATGAGAATAAGATGATGGGGAGAGGTTGCTAAAGCACAAGGGGAGTGGGGCCTCAGCCGGTGGGCAGAGGGGCAGGGAGACTCACTTGGGGTGTTGGGAATGGGTGGCCTCTGGGCTCTAAGAAGCAGTGATGCAAACTGTTAGTCATTTTTGCATGAAGTAGAAGTTTCCAGGCTCACGGTGGCCTTCACATACTTGGCCGGCACATTGTGTCTGTAACAAAGATAAAGATGTAAGTCTGGGCCCTTCTGTCCAGCACTTCCTGACCTCACAGGGTGGTGTGTTGGCAGAAATGGGGCCCAATCTGAATAATATTGCTGTTGAATGGTTGTCTATTTAGGACACTTGAATCTGTAAGGTTTTTTTTCTCTGGAAATGGATGGATTTTGTTTAGAATTAACCATAATTCTGCTTCCTTCATTCCATCATTTCAAAAAACATTGCAATACAATGGAATTTCTAGAACTTGTGATTTGTTAATTTTTGCTGTCTGCCATGATTAGAGTCCAGTTTTTATGCCATTAACAGAAACTTGGTTGCCTTTGATCTGAATTGATTTTTTTTTTTAACTGAAGCATTAAAATACATAAATCGGTCTTGGCAATGTGGTGGTGGTAATTTTTGTTTCTTTGTCATGAATAATTCAATTTAATTGAGTGATAGGAAGGCCTTCAGGGTACAGAAGTAGGCAGGTGGCCTACAGCTGGTAAAATGTGCATATTTGTCTAGGCAGTATGCTTGGTGAAATCTTTGGGATAATGAATACATTTTGGAGACAAGTGTTGAAAATTTCAAGCAACAGTTTTATACTGTTAAATTATTGGAGAGAATCCCTCTCTCTGTTAGATTCAAGTTACTGAGGTTATTTAATGGAACTGAAAGAGAGTAACAGTTTTTAAAGTAATCTTGGGGTGAGCAGGGCCTGGCTCTCTCCCCTTCTTCCAAAAGCCCAAGCTCCCTCCACAGAGGATCCCCAAGGGGATGGGGACCTGGAGAGTAGGCTGTATCTTGAAGGGCTCTCCCTGGCTCCCCCATGTTGCTGGGCCTGAAACCCTGGCCCACTTTTAGTTCTCTCCTATCAGGAGCTTCCTAACCTCGCAGGTTGTGAGGATCAGATGGTAATGGCCATGAAGCCTTTGGGAGGCATGGATGCTGCACATGTGAAGTGGTGTGGCTGTGGAGCTTCCCAGGTTATTAAGTGATCATTACTTGATTTTATGAGTTGTTCATGTTATTACAAGTGATATGAGAGCACATCATCTATCCTTGTATAAATGAAGGAATTCTAACGTACCTGGTTCCTGGGCACCGTTTCTTCTGAACAGGCCATGTGAAGTTATATACAACTAATTTTTTTTCCCCATAAGAAAACTGAGAATAGATATCGGCCAAGAGAGTGTTAATTACATGTTTTCTGTTTCCAGATATATAGATCAAGGTCGAAACCCCCAACTCTACACCAAAGAGTGCCTGGAAAGAGCTCTGGCGAAAAATGAACAAGTTAAAGGGAAGATTGATACGATGAAGGTAAGGCTCCTGTAAACAGAAAACGTCAGGACATAAAGCCTTAAAAAGCAAATTTGGCTAATAGACTGTTGTGCTTTTCCATACTTGGTAAAACATCACCTATTTTATCACATTACACAATTGAGATTTCTGAATTGTATGCCAGGTAGTAAACAAAGTTAAGTATCAGTGATGCCTTCTGTTGGACTTTTTCCGGTAATTGTGGTTCTTTGGTTTGAAGGCGTCTGGAATCCTCATTCTGTTTTTCTTCGTGGGTGCTGGTCTCCAGCTTCAGACTCCAGACTCTTAAACCATATCCCCTGTCACAGAGTTCTCCACAGAGAACCTGCTCTGTTCCTTTGCTCTGATGAGGCATCTACAGCAGGAAATACGTTGTTTTTTCTTACTTAAATTCACTCAAATATGGTCCCAAGTTGGAGCCTGTGTGGTTTGTTTTTCCTCTAATTTGATGGTGCCATCTCTTTTCTGGTTTCCCGTTTCTGTTGGCCTCATGCAGTGAGCCCCCCGCCTCTCCATCCCCATTCCTGATTCTGGCCCAGCCGCATGGTTTCCGTTTCTGTTGTGACCTCTTAGGGTCAGACCGTGTGAGGAGCAAGCAGAGAGACGACACTCAGGATGACAGTGACAGGCGTCATGTGTGAGGTCGCAGGGCTTCCCAGTGTCCCCCCCCAGGGTATCTCTACTGATGATAGGCAGCGTGCCTGGAGGTGGCTTTGCTATGACTGTTAATGTGGCTTCTTTTATATTTTGTCAGCGTGGGACTGAGTTGCTGTTGAACTCAGTGTCACCCTTGGGGCATAGAACAACGTTAATCAGTAGTGAGTTGTGACTCTTCGGACTGCTGTGTGAGTGAGTTGCATTGTCAAGCCGAAATCTCCTCTATATGGACAGGGTGTGGTCCAGATGTGTTCTGCTCGGTCCCACCACGCTTCTGTGGGTGATGCAGAGGTTTCCTGTTGGTGGTACTGCACGGGGACTGTGCGATTTATCTTCAGTTTGCCTCTGTTGTCGCTTGGCCTCATTCTGTCTGAGACCCGTGAATGTCACTGTGCAGTTCCATGGCCTTCCTTTGCGCAGCGCGTGTTTATTATCCTGCTGGAGTGCAGTCTCCTTTGAGAGTATTCTTACTTGTGTATTACATCTTTGTTTATATCCATACAGCTTCTTCTTAGTGTAGCTTATAAGAAAGATTTTGAGGTGCTGATAGGTTCTTTGCTGCCTTTAAGACTGGTGTACAACGAATGTTAAGCCGATAAGGGTCAGGAAACCATTGCATTTGGTGTAGACAGGTTTCTAGGTGCTCTGAAAGCTTTGATTGAGCTATTTGCACACAGTGTGTATGATGTGGTTCAAGTCATTAATTGCTTAATTAAGTATTATTTGAAGATTCCTGTTACGTGTGCTGTGTGCAAAAATCATTTCAACCTGTGTGGCTGGCTCCCTATAGGTTGGCCTGCTTTCTTTTTGAAGCAGGAGGGAAGAAGTTGTATTTGAAAGGTGAATTTCTCTTTCAGGTAGTTCTTAATGTACCTGTAACATAGTTGCGAGTGTTTTTTGCAGCTGGTTCACCAAGTATTGCATCCGTGGGCATCCGTGGGCAATGAGCAGGCAGCACTGGAACATGGGTTTGCGTGAGGGCAAAGCAGATTCTGTTTGTTCAGAGGGCTTTAGGGGTGGGGGTAGTCTTTAACTTGGGTGATGGGTCACAAACAAAGCTGTTTTGACAGTGTACATTTTTCTTCTTAGAAATTTAAAAGCCTGTTGATTCAAGAGCTTTCTAAAGTCTTTCCAGAAGATATGGCTAAGTACCGAAGCATCCGAGGGGAGGACCATCCCCCGTCGTAACTTTCTCTTCCAACATCTAGTCCTGTGTGAATCACCATAACCTTCAGGCAGCTTGTGACTGAGCGGCCTCAGAGACAGGAGGCCTAGAGGACTTTGTAGAGCTGTGCTGCCAGCAGCCCCCTCTTTGCAGAGGGCTGGTGAGCGCACATTTTTGAGCGCAATGCATTTGATCCTGTATGGCAGAATTATCTTGGAAATATTAAATAACGGTAGGTAAAGTAAAGGGTTTAAAAATATTGCCTAAGACTTTTCTGTTTGTGTACTTCTCTTTTTCATTTTATTATGATGTCAAAGAAAGCTAAAACAAAGAAAAGGTTTAATATGAGAAATACTGGAATTGGTTTTGTATTTTATATTTTCAAGTATAATGCATAAAGAATGTGTTTAATGTGACTGTTTACGTGGATTTCAGTTAGACATAAGCATATAATAAAGTCTTTTAAGTACTTATATGACTTACTCCATGTAATTATTTTATAACATTTTTACAGTATAGTGCAGTGCATCTTGTAAACAGTTATTACTTCCCTAAAGTGTGAATATTATTCATAAAATTTGTTCTTCTGGAAGTGGATCATGGGATTTACTCTTGTTCAAGGTTTCCATGCTCATTTTCTAGTGCCCTTAAGCTCTGAAATAACGAGGTATTAGTTTCAAAGGCAAATGTTCATCTATGGGCAACATCAGTAATGTCCCTGGGTAGTTTATTATGTTATCAATTAAAAATTATGTGAATGGCTTGTTGAAGTATTGTAGTCAGTGACGACCCAGATGCTGACTACTGCTATTGTCACATGGTAACCCTGAATAACCAGATAGCCTGCTCTGTTGCCACTCACCTGGACAGAAGTAACCTTTCCGTCCAAGTGACAGGTACCATTGATCCAAGGAGTGACAGGGCATGCAATGCTTGATCCTTTAAAGACCCAGTGATGTTAGGGGGCAGCTGTCCTTTTTAAGAGATCCACAAACCCAAGAAGTTACAAAGGAAAAAATGAATACATTTGGCTATATAAATGTTAAAAAACACCCCAAACTAACACAGGGCAAAAACGTGAAGTTAAAAAAAAAAATAAACCTCAAAGACAAGAAGCTAAGGAAAAATGTGACTATGTATGACAAAGGGCTAAATATCGGTTGTATATAAAGCTCTTACACTAATAATAATAAGATAAACTTATGGAAGAATAGGCAGATGTTCATTGTTACATTATTTATAATAGGAAAAAAAGGAGAAGGAAAAGCAGTAAATTGAGTGTCCATAAACAGCTAGATTAAATTATGGTTTATCCATTTGATGGAGTACTACACAGTGATTAAAAGAATGAAAGAATAAAGAATATATACAATGATGAGAGATGGCCAATATATATTGTTACTAAAAAACAACTTTGTTCAACAAGCATTAATTAAGAGTCTACCTATGGTAATCTAAGCTATATGCTAATTGGAGTGTTTCTCCAAGGTGATCTGCCCACTGGTGGGACCACTGGGGAGCTTATTAAAAATGCCGATTCTAGGCCCCACTCCAAGGCTGCTGCACTCGAGTCCTTTCCTCCCTTGACTTCTAACCAACATACTCTGCCTGCGAATTCAGTGTAGGGTTTCTCGGGTTCTCTTTCATTGTACACCTTCTCCCTGGGCAAGTTCATCCATCTCATGGCCCACGTTACATTCTGTGCCAAGATCCCCAGGTTTGTATACATCCCTGCTGAGGGAGTCCTACACATCCTTAACCCAACTTTCTGTTCCTCTCCACTTCGCTGTCTTCCAGGTGCTTCCAGCTCAGTGTCCCTAAAGCTGGACTCAGCATCTTTCCCACCCAAACATCTCCTTGGTGTCTCCCTCTCAGAAAGTTGCCCTGCCTTGTGTCCAGGTCCATCATTCTTGCCTCCTTTTTCTCCCTCACCACTTCTGCCTTTGTATGGAGGTGTCACTAAGTCTCCTAAATGCCCCATTTCCTTGCTATTTTTACTCCAGTGATGCTAGTATTTAGTTCTCCCATCATAGCACTTCCCTTCCTTCGTGCTTCATCTCCCTACCTGGCTACTTCACTCATATTCCAGGTTGCAGTGTAAAGGCACCTGCATTAGCTCACCTTCTCTGAGACCTCGGAGCAGAGCTGGTCTATTTGTTAATCTTTTCTTTGACACAGTATCAAAGGCACTGAAAGTTACAGCAGAAACTGTAATCTCCCTAAGAACCTGGATCATGCCAGCCTTACTCGTTCCTTTGCTCTAGGACAAGCATGTCAAACTCAAAGGCTAACATGGGCCAAATAAGGTTTAAGTTCATGTGGGCCGCCTAAAAACAAAAGCTTCAATTTTCATAAAAACATAGGTTTATTTTGATAGAGACATGCGGGATAGAAAGGGCTGAAATAAATGAGTAATCGTTAACATAAAATAATAGAACATTTTAATAAAAATATTTTACTTGAACATTAACTTACCAGACATTGAATAACTGCACAAATTAATAAGCGTAATGCAAATAAACCTATTTTTCTTGTTCTCTGAAAGCGAAATACTTCCTGTTCCACACACCAAACAAGGTAGTCCAAGATTAATGACATGGCAAACGGCTGCTAAAATATTCGCTGCTAGTATTAGTGGAGAGAAATGGTGCGCCTGCTTGTAAGGCATGCAAGGGAAATTAATGCAACATGATTATAGTAATCAGTCATTAGTAAACTTTGTAGTTCGTTATTAATAACTAGAGGCCTGGTGCGTGAAATTCATGCACTCGGGGGTCCCTCAGCCCAGCCTGCTCCCTCGCAGTCTGGAAGTCCTTGGGGGATGTCCCGACTGCCGGCAGTCGGGACATCCTTAGCGCTGCTGCAGGGGCAGGAGAGGCTCCTGCCACCACTGCTGCACACGCCAGCTGTCAGACTGACTTCTGGCTGAGCAGTGCTCCCCCTGTGGGTGCACACTGACCACCAAGGGGCAGCTCCTGTGTTGAGCATCTGACCCCTGGTGGTCAGTGCGCACCATAAAGATTAAACAGTCAAAAGGTCGCTTAGGCTTTTATATC